AGCCATGATGTCGCCTAATCCTTGCTCATCCATGATGGAGTAGAACAGGCCACTCCAGCCGTGGAAATCTTCCGGCTTCCCGCTAAACGGGACGTATCCTTGTTTCAGGTAGTTCGTGGCGGACGCCATGCTGCTGCTGGGGTATCACTCTGTGTTGTATCTACCCAAACTGCGAGGCTCATAACCTGACAACAGAATTGTAGTTGCTGTTTGTTGTGTAGTTGGCAGTGGTGGCGCAGTTTGGGTAGATACAACACAGAGTGATCATTAGATCCAAAACACAGGCGCCCAAGCTGTCTTCACCTGACGGTTACAGACTTGGAGACACGCCTTCACAATACTGCACAAAACCCATGCAGTAGAATAGAGTCAGTTCTTGCATACAAATCCCAACATGTCCTCTCAAGAACTACGTCATGACTAGCTCTGATACATAAGACACAAAATTCTTTCTCTCAGTGTCCTCTCGAAACAAATACCAGTGTCCTCTCGACAAATGCTATCAACATGAATGCATGCTCTCGAACAATTCANATTATTTTATTTTATTTGTTTCTGATTGTATTTTGTTTTGTATTTTATCGCTCTGCTGACCCTTGGGGTCCATTTTATTTTGGTATACCTTTTCTAGGTACGTTAGCCTGTGACCACGGAAATTGGCCGAGTCAAGTGATGGATTAGTACGGAGAGATTGAGACAGAAGGAGGTACTGGATAGAGAGACCGGGATGGTTTTTAATGTGAAGACAACAACAACAACAACAACAACAACTGTGTGCATCAACGCTTGATGCTATTATTATCAATTATTTGCGACATGTGTCGGCCTCTATCATGACGGTTGCGCGTGGTAATTAGCGTGTTTTCACCGGAAAAAAAATCAGTTGCGGCGTATGTCGGCCTATTGTCATGGCGGTTGGTTTCGTGTTTCACCAAGGTTGGCTTCACAGGGAAGAAATAAATGTTGCTGTGGCACTGCTGCGATGCGCGTGGTGTGGATACGTTCGTGCTAACTAGTCAATTGGCTTGTGTGCGGTCTACAACTACGGCCGACGTATACTGTGCGTCTTTGCCGGATGCTCTTGATCATTTGCGACGAGTGATGTCGGCATTTTCATCTTTTTTTTTCTTTTCTCCCGTCATTGGACTCTGTGGTCTGCCCCACTGGCCTGTGTCGGCCTATTGTCATGGGCGGTTTCGTGTTTCACCAAGGTTGGCTTCACAGGGAAGAATAAGTGTTGCTGTGGCACTGCTGCGATGCGCGTGGTGTGGATACGTTCGTGCTAACTAGTTAATTGGCTTGTGTGCGGTCTACAACTACGGCCGACGTATGCTGTGCGTCTTTGCCGGATGCTCTTGTTCATTTGCGACGAGTGATGACGGCATTTTCATCTTTTTTTTTTTCTCCCATCATCGGACTCTGTCTTCTGCCCCTCTGGCTTGTGTCGGCCTATTGTCATGGCGGTTTCGTGTTTCACCAAGGTTGGTTTCACAGGGAAGAAACAAGTGTTGCTGTGGCACTGCTGCGATGCGCGTGGTGTGGATGCGTTCGTGCTAACTAGTTAATAGGCTTGTGTGCGGTCTACAACTAACTACGGCCGACGTATACTGTGCGTCTTTGCCGGATGCTCTTGATCATTTGCGACGAGTGATGACGGCATTTTCATCGGGTTTTTTTCTCCCATCATTGGACTCTGTCGTCTGCCCCTCTGGCCCCTATCCTCCACTTCTACTAGCTAGACGACCCAACCGGGGTCACGTAGGAGGGGGAGGCTGGACCCCCTCCTGCGGTTCCTGTCTGAGGTACTTTTATTCCGAGAAGGGTACAGCAGTCCCTTCCCTCGTGACTTACGAAGTCGATTATGGTATACTAACATGTATGCGCGTGAACGTGTGTGGTGTGTGTTTCACATGAAACAAATAGGGGACATAACCTAGAACTAATCTAGTCTTTTGGGCAGACGACTACCACCTGTGTCGGCATATAGTCTAATACTGCTGCAAATTGACTCGTGATCAGATTCAGTGAACATCGGTTGATGTGGCGATGAGATAGCAGAGCAATCGCTGATGCTGCTAAGTTTAGGTAACTACGCTCCGAGCAGCCGATGAAAGAAACAACAACTCGACACTTCAGGGCGTCGCATACCCAACCTGTTTCGCCGACGTCGCCCTCGCAGCGCTTGACAGACTGGCTCTCGCAGAGCTTGGAGGGGAAGGAAATGAAGAGCACTACCGCCGTCACGGCTGCTGGGAAAGGAGATAGGTGCATGGCCAAAGATCGCTGCTGCTGTGGTGCTGTAGAAGAGTGTGTGTCGGCGGCGGCGGCGCGGCGGGGCTAGGAAGCTGTGTGATGATAGAATGAATCTGCGGTACATTTGAGGAATCTGAATCTGCCGGCGGGACGATCTTTGCGACACAGCTTGCTGTCGCGAACTGCAGAATATGCTAGAAAAATGACAGTAGAAATAAGTCCTACATATGTTGTTGTACTTCGTATTGGTTAATATTCATGTAGTGTATGAGACATTAAGTGAAAGTTTTCTGAGGTACATCTGCAATTGTCGGAAGGCAAAATAAATAAATAAATATGCTAGAATGAACGAAAAAACATCAAAAAACAATCTGCGGAACGTTCTTGGTGATGCCTACTCTTCTGATGATGCTGTACGCGAATGCTAACAGCATGCACATAAGCCTTGCCGGCATTAGGACAGTGTCCTTGTCGTGCGTGTGTACGCTGTTAGTGTCGGTGTGCCCCAGGGTTCCTGTGGGAGGGCGCGAATTCATGATCATCACCTCGAGAAGATCCTCTCTCGGATCCATCTCCGTTTTAGGCTTGTCCTCCATCGGCCGTTTTATTTTCGATTTAGATACACAAACTTTATTTCTATACTAATTTCAAGTAATTCCACCTTCTTATTCTCCGTCATACAAGCAAAACGGCCGATGGAGGACAGGCCTACCTCCGTTGCACAGCAGCAAGGATGGACTGGTGTATGACACAAGATAACACACTCCCTTGACCGTTTTTTTATGCTTGATTTCTCAACATGTCATGGCAAGACAAAGGAAGAGTCACAGCGCCGAAAACGGCGGTGATGGAATCGTCTCGTCGAGAGCATTTCGAAAATGTACTACAAAGTATGATTTTGTTGATGCATCCTCTTCGTCGAGGCGTAATCGAGCTTTGAAAATCGATCCAGGGGGTGCGTTACCTTGTGTAGAAAACGGTATTCTCGCTACCGGTTCACGCGGCGGGTCAGTCTGCCGACGTTCACCAGGAGAGCCAAATACCAAGCATGTTTTTGGTCAATATCGCGCGTGCCGTAGCCCTCTCTCTCTCTCTCTCTCTCTCTCTCTCTCTCTCTCTCTNCTCTCTCTCTCTCTCTCTCTCTCTCTCTCTCTCTCTCTTTCTCTCGCTCTCGCTCTCTCGCTCTTGTTGCCGTTTTCTGGTGCGAACAACAGATGAATAAGGGGTGAACACCAGGGGGGGTAGGGTGAAAAAATAGAGAGCACAGAATGTCTAGAGATGCACATCGTGCGTGCTCGCGTACGCAACGGAGTTGACTCTAGAATTGACCGGAAGCCCCACGTCAATTGGTCAAGACCACCGAGAAACCGTATTCTGGTGAGTACCGCGACCTGGCATCTCGCGTCGTTTTTCACGGTATATTCTACTGTAAAAGCGTCTGCTGTGAGATTGGGATCCAACGCCGTGGCTGATGGTCATTACGCACATACATACACATGTACTACTGAAGTAAGCGTTTGCTGTGAGATCGATTGGTATCCAAGCCCGTGGCTGATGGTCATTCCGCACAGACACATGATCGGCGAGTTAAGAGTTCGGGATACGGTCGCATGGCATGGCCGTTGTTCGGGAAACGTTGAACACCTATTCGAGAAGCCGATATGTGCTGTAGAACTCTACTTTCGGGGTCGCAGCAGAAACGAGATTACGTGTTGTACTCGGTGGTCGTGGCCATCAATCAGCGTGGATCCTCGGGGTCAATTTATTCCTGAGGTCGCGTATGGAACCGCCATTTTGAGTCACACGACAACCCCCCCCCTGGGTAACTGTGTTCTTTCTGTCGTACGTATGCCCTCCATACCAATCCCCGGTCGTCGTGTGGATGTGGCCTTTGCAAGCGTACGATCTCCAATTCCAATATCTTCCTGTCGAGAAAGATCGATTTCCTTGTTTCGCGTTTGGGGTGTCGAATATTTTCTTTCTCCGTCAGTTCCAAGACCTTCAACAAGTAGACTACATTTCCAGGCCCCCCCCATCCCACCCCGTCCGCGAATAAAAACAACCATGAAAACCCAGACAACCTCATCAGCACCCGATTCAATCATAACATGTAGACTATGCGGAGAGAGAACAAAAGAACGCGCCACCACTCGAAAGTCTCCAATTTTGCTCAACCCTCCCTCCTTTCATCAGTGGGGAACACCAACAGGGAAATCATGGGATATTTTATGTATTTAGATCGGTATTGGAGGGTTCAACTTCGTCAATTTCGTGAAAACCAAACCCTCAACTTCTAAACCGGTACCACCTTTGGACGGTCCGGCGTTCTTGCAACACGAACCACCCCCTGCATCTCGTAATCAAGACATGTAACGATGCACACAAAAACAGTTGGGTAAGACGAACGAATTAATGGGTGGCGCACTCAACACCTACCAACCCGCGTGTATTTAAGTCCTGTATTTCTGCATCCCCTTCCTAACGGCCTGAGAAGGTCAACAGTTGTATCTCCACCCCTACAGGCCAAAGGTCATCGACCCCTATCGTCCTTTGCTTTTGCAATCAAACAGTTCCCGAATCGTAGCCAGCACTCCCACCGATTCCCAACAAATCACCGTGCCTCAATAGAAAGCGTGCATAGTAGTCCGTTCTCCGACAGGCTCAGACGCTTGAGGCGAAAAGAAAGGACACATCCGCCACGAGCGGAACGGCACGCGACTATCGCCACGAAGAACTGAACCTGCTGGGCAAATATCCAGTCCTAGCAACACTCGCATTCGTCTGAGCTGATCCGCCAGGGAAGCGGGCACCTGCACACAACCCAATGTATTGCGCCTGTCTCACCTTGACGAAAGTATCCACTCGAAATACAATAACATGCATATTTCTACACACTTTTTTGCACGGAAGCATGTTTTCTGCACGATTCTGCGAGCAGCTGGCTGTGTGGACCAGCGGCAACTTTCAAGCCTCTGACAACACTGGTGCATCTGTCCCCTTCCATTGCCGTTCATCAGGTTGGGTCCGCCAAACCTATGACCCGTCCCCTACAAAAGTTCCCCTTCCCCTCCCGCAAGACCGGTAAATTACACACCTGGCGGCAAGGTATCAAACCGCCTGTACATTGTAGACGGCTTGGTGCTCGTGCCGCTGCCGCAAGCTACATACTGTAGTACCTTGCCTCGAACATCCCAGAGCACAAGACCCATCGTCGCATGGAATTTTACGCCGAAATTACGATCAACCGCAGCAAACAACCAACCCTCTCGCATCCGGCCGGCGCGTACCGGTCGGAAATTCTGCTCGAGAAGGCCCACTGCTACAACTAAGTGGCCCGAACGGTCCTCCCTGCCTTGCTTCCCTTGGGGACAACCATGGGGCTCTTGCTGATGCCGTTATCGCCGCGCGAACCACCCCTTGCAGACTGGGGTCCGCTGCGAGAGAGCATGCCGCCGCCGCCGCCGCCACTTCCCCCGCTCGCTGCACCTCGGCTCCCGCCCACCGTCCTTGCCGGCTTTCCTTCGCCGCTGCCGCTCCCGCCGCCACCGAAGAAGAAACCTCGCTCTCGGCCAACGCCACCGCTCCTGGGAGACTTGGATGATGACCTGGGAGACTTGGGCGTCGACCTCGGAGACCTGGACGCCGACCTCAGCTCGCCGCCCCCTCTGGGAGACCTCAGCGGCCCCGGCGACTCAATCGGCACGCGGGACCTACTCCCCACCCTATGCAGGCTGGCGGGCGAGAGGGTCGGGATGGTGGCGCCGAGTGACCTCGCCGCTTTCGAGGTCTTGAACCTCGCCGACGGGCCGGTGGAAGGCGCCGGCGTGACCACCGCCATTCTTTCGGAGGCCGGGGACAGGGCGACGGCCGCCGCAGCGGTAGCGGCCGCCGAAGCGGGGACGGTCCTAACCTTCCGCGGCACGACTCCGGCCCCCGCTGCCGCTGCGACCGCTCCCGCCGCCGCCGCCTTAACCGCCGCCGTCACTTCCTCCTTGTGGGCCGGGGAGAGCCGGGTGGCGAGCGGGGACAGCGAAGGCGACGGAGACGGCGACGAGGAAGACCCCGCGGTGGCGACCTCCAGCACGCGAGAGCAGGCCCGTCCCCTGTGCGGGTCGCTTCCCGCCGCCGACTCCGTCGGTGGTGCCGCGGTTCCCACCTTCGAAGGCGCGCCGACACCGCCGACCTTGCCTGCCGGGGGCGGCGGTGCTGCTGTTGCACTAGATGGAGAGGCACGGCTCCCAGAAGGCGCCCGCTTGTGCGGCTTGTTCCGACGGATAGCGCCGGCTGCCGCTGCCCGAGGCGAGGGCTTCGCTCCCTTCGCCGTTCCAGCAGTCTCGGCCGCGGCGCTGGCCTCCTTCGCCGCGCGAACCGCATCGCGCTCCGCCGCCCTCCTGGCCCCCACGCGAGCGGCCGCCCTGTCGACCGCGGTGCTCGCGGCGAGGTTCCTCGAGTCACCATTCCGGTTGCCAACACCGGCATTACCCCCACCACCACCAGCGCGAGCGGTAGCGGTAGAGGGACGCCCTCCACCGACAGCAGGCGCAGACCGCTTGTCTACGCTCTTGTTAACCGCACCGTCGCCGCCGCAGCCGCAGCCGCCGCCACCGCCACCGCCACCGCCACCGGGGGTAGCCGCACCCCTCGGTTTCGCCCGCGTGCCGGCACCACTCGTCGCTGCGGCAGCGGCGGCAATGGCGTGCGAGGCATCGCTGGAGTTGTTCTTCCGGCTGCCGTTGCCCGTGAAGCCCCCGTTGATCCACCCCTTGAGCCGGTTGAACGAGTCCTTCACCTGGTACTTACCCTTGCGCGGGGAAGGGGAAGCACCGCCGCCGACACCGCCGGCGCCGCCGACCATCGGACGCCGGTCGAAGGAGCCGCCGCCCTTGATCCGCTCGCGCGCGGTTCCTCGTCCGACGGCCCCTCGCCGACCCCTGCCATCCTTCGCAGCCCCTCCAGACGTCCGAACACCGGACAGGGTCATGGCAGCGTCAGCCAGCTCCACCGCGGGGTCCATGGCGCCCTCGTCGATGGAGCGCGGAAGCATACCGGCGGACGTCGAGCGGCGGTGGTGCCCGCGAGCCGGACGCGGAGTGGTGGAGGTGGAGGTGGGGGTGGAGGAGGAGGGGACCCCCGAGAGGGGCGGAGCGCCTTCGACCTGTTCCTGCGGGAGAGGAGTCGGTCAGAGGGTGAGGACAGCCGGAGGCGGGTCAATTGTCTGGGATGGGGGCAGGCTTGCCCGGCTTGCAGGTTCCACACGTAAGGATGGAAAACACAAGGTGCTGTTTGTGCACAGAGTACGGGCCGACTCCTGCGAAACACAAAATAGTGGACCGTGGGAATCTCAAAGCATGGTCTGGTGGGCTCAAAATATCTCAAGTTCAAAACATTCCTTTAAGAACAGTAATACCAGTAGTGGAATCGTTTGAAAATACCATCCAATCAAACGTTCGGGTAAAGCATTCTTCCGGTGCCTCTTCAGGGTCAAGGACGCACTGTGCCCGATCGGCATGTATCGTAGATTTCAGGGTCCTGAGGAACAACAACTGCATCATACGTTTCAGAAGCGAGTAGGATGCTCTACAAAGACATGTGGGATATGTTGGTGCTCTGTGGAACCAACCACTGGGTGGAATCTGGGATCAGTCGCTGCAAGAAAGTGATATACCGAACGCCTAGACCAGGAGGAACCGTTAGTAGCAAAAGCACGGACTGCCGTACACTGCTGTGTTGCAGAACCAGCCCAAAACCATGCGAAACGGCCCTGCACAGTAGCGGCACGAGTCATTCCCGTAGGTATCATCCCTTTCACCTGTGCCGACGTCACCAGGTCCGAAGGAGTGATGATATCCGCGCATATGCCCTCGACCCGAGCGGAGCTGAGTCCTCCATCTCGCAGCTCCGGCGGCGGTGCTGAAGAAGAGAGCCTCCTGCCACCCCTGCTGCCACTGCTGCTCGATTCTTCGGAGCCCCTCACCCGGTCCCGCCCGCGGCGATCATCTGCCTCCTTGCTGCGGGGGGACTGCCTCTCCTTCTGCCTCCTCTGCTGAGACCCTACCCGCTGCAGCTGCTGGGGCTGCTGCGAGGACGGGGACGCCCTCGAAGAACCGGCAGCAGCGGTAGTCGCGCCACCACCGCCGCGGCCAACGTCGTCACCACCGCCGCCGCCGCCGCCGCCGCCGCCACCAACTCTCGCCTTGGACGATTTCGTCGGCGCGGAGTAACCGGCTGGGGCCGGCGCCGCTCTTGGGGCCGACGCGAATCCGGACTTCCCCGCCGACCTGGGGGACCCCGCTCCTTGGGCCGGTGCGAATCCGGACTTCGCCGCCGTCCTGGGCGACCCCGCTTTAGCGCCCGCCACCGCCATCGCCGCGGTCGCCCTGGGCCTACCGCCGTCGCCTCCTGATGCCGAACATGGCGCGCCGGCGGAGGGCGTCGGACCCGGAGCAGAAGAAGCCTTCACCCTCCGGTCGCCCGCATTTTCCTTCATCGGGGTCGTGCTCACACCCGCCCTTGTCGCCTTCGCCGTCGGCGCGGACCTGGGGCTCACGGGGGTAGTGGCCTCCCTCCCTTGCTTCCACCCTCTCCCGCCGACCCTACCGGCAGCAGCCCCGTCCGCCCTCGCTTCCACCCTCTCCTTGGGCAGGCCCAGTTGTGCCGTCGTAGAGGAAGACGAGCACGAATCAAAGCCCGTAGCGGCCGCCGCGGCGGCACAGGCGAGAGTCCGGGCGGAGAGCGACGCTCCCCCGCCGCGGAGAGCGGCAGACGGGGGAAGCATCGCGGTCGATACCGCAGCGTCGGCGGCAGCACCAGCACCAGCAGCATCAGCACCAGCCGGAGACGGAGGGTTTGTCGGCGGCGACGGCTCCTCCGTTAGCGGCGGGGGCTTGTTCTCGTCGCCACCAAAGGAAGAAGAAGGCACCACAGCAGTCGGGGGAACACCCGCCCCCGGCGAGGCCGCCGCTGGCTCAACGGCCCCGCCGGCCAAGGGTGTAGCCTCGTTCAGCTTGCTTTCGCCGAAGGCGTCTTCGGAAGCAGGGACACGAGCAACCCTCACCGGTTCGTCGTCTGCCGTGCCTCTCTCGGGTCCGCTCCTGGCGCTCGGCTGGAGCGTACCCCTGCGACGACGAACAAGCATTAGGATCGAAGCAACGGGTGGAGGGGGAGGAAAACACGAATGAAATATCTCTGTGCACAACGTCCCTTTGCGAGATATTCCCAACTTGAGGGCCCCGCTGTGTCTGAAGGTGACCTGAACGACCGCACAGGGGGCATGGTGAGAGACATGAAGCCGAACACAGCCGATTGTACACCCACGAAATTCTACAGGGTCATGAAGCTCCTTTGAAAGGGCAGTCAGTATGGCAAGGGAACTGACCAACTTCTGCGAGATGAGCAGTCTTCCCACAGCAAGAAGCTGACGACATGTGACTCACTGTCAATTTTCTGTTCGTGTTCTTCGGTTACAAGCGACGAATCAAAGTTCCGAGAAAAATATACCTACATCCACTTGTCCACGTAATATGAAATGTAAATATTACGACATTAGGTACTCCCAATTGAAATTCATAGCCCCGTTGTGGGGCTTACACCAAACAACGAACGCGCCGTTGTGTTCTCAGAAGAAGACATAAGACGCACCGCGCGGAAAGGTTAGGCTCGTCCTCGCCTTCTCCCTTTTCCTCCTGCTGGGTATCTTTCCCCGCACCCACGCCGCCGCCGCCGCCGCCGCCACCGCCCTCCGTTGCTCTCGCGGGCGACTCGCATGGGTCCGACGCCGCCCCCTCTCCATCTTCCCACGCAAGCAGGCTCTTGCGACGGTTTAGCTCCTGTGCGTGAAACCAAAAGGAAGGACAACAAACGGAAAAGTGTAACTCCCAAAAATTTCCCCGCCCGCACTAATGGTTATATTTGAAGGTCGAAAAGAACTCGACGAAAACACGTTGGTGAGGGTTTACGGTCTGAACATATCGTTCTTGTGCTTCAAAACAAGAATTTTTGCGGAGGAGAACAACGCGGAACGCACAGGGAGCAACAAAGTCTCAACAGCCAGACGAAGTCGCGACAAAGTGCAGCGGCCAACAATGATCGCAAGATAGACCAACGCATGAGACACGCCACAAAAACTCCCGTCGTAACACGCTCAAGGGTCACGATGGCCTGCGCGTCAGGCAACAACCCCAAGAGCAGGAAATTACCCATCGACCGCCTCTGATCAACGTCTCGTGATCGACAACCTCATCGAACACCATCTTCACAACCCCTCACCGCTATCACGGCCTCCAGGTCGTTTGCTACTCCCAGCCGCCGCTCCTTATCGTGCTCGAGCTTCCCATCGCCCACTATCGGGGGCCGCACCAGCGCGGCCGGGTCAACGGCGTGACCCACGACCATGTCCTCGCCGGGCTCCCGCGCCATCCCACCGCCACCGCAACTACGGCCGCCCCCACCGCTCTCCCCCCCCTTCTTGGGTCCTTGCTCTTCTTCTTTCTCCGCCGCTTCCATGGCGCCTTCTTCCTGCCCTCCTGCCGCAGCAGGCGTTCGTCCAGCCCCGGTATCGCCTCCAGCGGTGGAAAGGGGCTCGTCAGCATCCCCCCCGGCAACGCCGGCGCCGTCGCCGCCGCTAGCGCTCGGCACGGCGACGGCCACAGAAGCGTTGGATTCGAAGTACGTGCTCTCCAACGACTTGCGCGGCAACGTGTTGAAGGAAGCCAGCAGCGACCCTCTGCAGGTAGTACCGGCAACGATTAATCGGCCAGTCAGCAAGCACGTGGCGTGAACACGTCGGTAGCAAAAGTGCGGGCATGCATGCGTAAGGGGTGAGATATTGTGGCGCTGTTGCGAAACGAACGAGGGCATCACATGCAGGAACCCACTACGCCTACACCGAAACTCTCCATTCGCCCTTGAAAGGACTGCGCCAATTCCATGTACGGGACTCGGCACGACAAGTCGCACCCCCCATTTTTCGGAGGCTTGTGCCAACTCTACGTACAGGAGTCGGTCACGACACGCCGCCGTCAATGGATCCCCCCGAAACGCTTTCCCAGAGAGTGTGTGTGCCGCACAGAGGAACACCCAAACAGACAGAAACCCGCACAAGCACCCCTCACCTCGTGTCACCAACGCCCGAACAAAACACGGAGGAAGTGACCGTGCCGTAAGACGCCTCCCTTCCGGGGTTCGCGGTGCTCGCCTCACCCCCGACCTTGTCGTCCTCGCCCGCCCGACTTCCCTCCTCAGGCTTCGCGGTTGCGGCGATGGCGGCGGCGGCGGCGGAGGCGGCGGCTCCGCTGCAGACATCGGTTCCGCCGCTGGCAGCCACTCCAGTGACCTCATCATCGACCCCGACCCGTGGCTGAACCGGGTGCTCCCCCCGCTCCTCGTTCTCCGCCTCGTCTCCTTCCGGCGCGGACGTCAGCTGCGGCGGCGGCGGCGGCGGCGCGCGGGCGCACCCTTGCTCCACCCTCTCAGCGGTCCTACCCCTGCCTTTCTCCGGAGGCCCCGCCGCCGCTGCAGCGGTAGAAACAACAACCTCCTGGTTTTCGCTCCCGCCGCCTCCCCCGCCGCTAACGTGACCGCCGCTCACCTTGCTGCTGGTGCTCGACCTACTGCTACCACCCCCCCTGGTCCAGGACCCAGGGCCGCGGACGGGCCCCGTACCGAGACTGAAGGCAGAGTTGGAAGAGCGACGCCCGGAGGACGAGGACGATGAGGAGCTTATGCTGCGGCGGGGGCCGCTGCCGTTCATCGCTCCGACGCCGGCGCCGGTACCGGCGGGGGACTGGCGGAAAAAGAGCGACGGTCATCAACAATGGTGCCGTTCGCCGTTTTCGACCGCGGGGAAACGACGACGAAAATACAGGGCACTAGTATCGCGGGAAAAGGCGCCGACGGAAGACAGAATAGAAACGCCGGGGTTAAAAATCCCCGAGAAAGTTCAAACGCCAATGCCCGGGGAGGACCCGCGGCGGTAAACCTCCAGACCAGAAGCAGGGTGACATCGTCAACAGGCCCACAGATGCAGGCCCAAAAATGCCGAGCCATACACCTTCGCCGATACGTTACCGTCAGTCAACCAAGTCCAACGAGCACCAACAACTCGCTGGATGCCCACACGACGTTCCCATGACATATCCACTGCGTGCTGTGCCGTTAGTCATCCTTGCCGATGCGTCACGGCTAGCCAAAAAAAATGTACCAGCATGAACAAATTTCCCACTCCGTTATATGCCCACAAGGAATATGTCCGTAACTCACCCACTGCATCTTGTGCCGGTGCAAGGCCGGAGACGGTGACAGCGATCGAGTGCCTCCTCCGCTCACGGGGAATGCTTCGTCGCTTGCGGCTGCTCGCCGCCGCTGCTGCTGTAGTCCTGCATGCCCGTGCCGAGTAGGCGAATGCTCGAGAAGAACGCCGGGGCCGTGGTCGTCCAAGTCTGGGGGGAGGCGGCGACAACAAGACGGTTCCACACGAAACCGAGCCCGATATTTACAAAGAAGAGAGCAAAGCTTTCGTTCTCACCGTAGGGTAGGTAAGGGTGTGTACGTTATTGGGATGACGCCGAGACATGAGGGAAAACGTGAATCGATCACCACTTGGTGTCGCTAGCTCGCCACCGACTCCACCGATGGGTCTCCTCATACCCCCGCACAGCACCAGACCAGCCGCGGGGATGTCGGTCTACGTTTCTGCCGAATACCAATCAGCTAAACACCTCCTCCACCCCAACGACAACCACTGCAGTGTTACCTTACCGCAATCGCAACAACATGCACCACAGCAGTGTTATCTTACCGCAATCGTAAAAACATCCACCAAAGCAGTGTTATCTTACCGCAATCGCAACAACATGCACCACAGCAGTGTTATCTTACCGCAATCGTAAAAACATCCACCAAAGCAGTGTTATCTTACCGCAATCGCAACAACATGCACCACAGCAGTGTTATCTTACCGCAATCGTAAAAACATCCGCCAAAGCAGTGTTATCTTACCGCAATCGCAACAACATGCACCACAGCAGTGTTATCTTACCGCAATCGTAAAAACATCACGACTACAGCAGTAGCAAGATGGCGCATTCGCTACAATACCACCAGCAAGAGTCAGCCACGCACCCATGGCGAACTGCGGCGCCTTCCATGAGCGGCCGCTGTGGGCTTTGGCCGCCCCGCCTCCGCCGCCGCCCTCGCCGATCGGCGGGGACGTGAACCTCGGGGAGGTTGACGACGGCGGCGGCCGAAAGCGGGACGGCGACAGGAAACCGGCGGCGGGGTCCTGCAAGACACAACAACACGCCGCCACACGTTACGACAGCAAACAGTAGTACCGATCGGTTTGCGCAAGCCGGGACAGCGGGTCACGCATAGCAGCAGTAGAGACAGACAATACGGCGGGTATTCAGGGGCTTCCGACAGCTGTGCACGTGCCGTAGCAGCGTTCACCCCAAGTATCCGAAGGGTGCGCCGCGGGAAACCTGACAACATGGTTCTGTTAAGAACAATGAAAACACCAAGTGGGGGTTACACGGCACACAGGTTGCCGAGGTGCGGTCGGAGCCAACGCACGAAACGCAACCCCCTTCGACTCAATGTCCAATATAGCCTTTCCATTCTTATTCTTTGTCTCTCTCACACACACGAATACTTCCAGGCTTCATATCTTTACCGGGGGCGACTGATTGCTTCTGATCTACTCTCCCAGCCCAGCTTGGGCCCAAAACACAAATCACCGCAACGATCAAGAGCACCAGCATACCTCTCCCCTCGTGGACGTGGACGTGGCGTCATCGTCACACCCGACCCCCTTCCCGCTGCCGCGCCCGCCGCCCAAGCTGCTCCCGCTCGATTCGCCAGAGTCGTGCTGCTGCTGCTGCTGCTGCTGCTGCGCTTGGTTCGACAGCAGCGAGTCGCGGTCATGATCCCGCTCGCCACTCCCACTCCCACCCCCGCCGCCCCCGGTCCTCGAAGACCCGACCGATGAGGTCGACATGCGCCGTCCGCCCTTGGGGGACAACCCCTCCGTGAGGTAGTCCAGCTGCCCGGTTTCTGTTGTTTAGCGTGCCAGGCGCAAGGTCAACGGGAACAAAAATATTGTTACTGTACAGCAGTGGAAAAAGAGAGGGGACAACTCGCCGGTTCAGAAGGCGGTCGGCGGGTGAGCACAGCAGTTAAGGCTGTTGCAAGTGCAATGTAGATCGTGGCGAGTTACGCTTACGCTGTCATCGACTGAAGGGGGAGGTTGGGTGCTGTTCGGGTCCGTACTTGAGACATTTATCTGTCAGCGCTTCGGTTCGGGTTGCTCGAGGGGCGAGGGGTAAAGGGACAATGGCATCGAAACGTCGAAAACGTTGCAGCATCGAAAAGGACGAGGACGTCGTCAATCAAACACCAAAGAGACAATAACCAAGCCGTATACGCGCATGAGCGGCCCAGATTGACGGTGGCAGGAAGCGAGGGGGGGCACAAACGCAACTGGAATGTTTCGGCGGCAGCACCCTCAAGGCTCAATCAAAGCCGTATATGTACGACGGATCAAGGTAACAGCAGCAGCAGCAGCAGCGTCAGATAACCACCCAGAAAAGGACTCACCCTCATCCAGGGCGCACCAGCTGAGCTTCTGGCGGTACCTCTCATCCTAACGCGGCGACCATCCGCCGCCCCGTCCAAGGAGCGCATCAAGTACACACACACAGAGAGAGAGAG